ATATATCCCTTCATATATTCATACAATTTCATATTTCTTGGATGTTTGGAGGTTTACGAAGCAGAAGGTTTATGAAACACTTTGCAACGTATCTGTGATGGAGGCAAATGCAAATAGGATCCTAGGGCTGGGAGCTGGGAGGGTCTTCAGAGGTCATTTGGGCCAAAGTTCAATTTGATAAAAGCAGAAACTGAGGCTCAAAGAAACCTGAGTCACAAAACTAGCATTTATGAAGCACCTGCTCTGTGTCAGGTAGTACACTAGGTGCTGGAGAGATGAAGACAAAAGTGAGACAGTCCCTGCCTTCCAGAAGCTTCCATTCCATTATGGAGGTATGTTGTATTCACAAGTGAAATATATAAATATATATTATTATATGTATTTATATTATTATATATTAAATATATTAATATACAATATATACTTAAATAAATATAAATTCTATATTAATACAAATATATAAATATATATGAAATATATAACATAAATACATAATGATTGAGAGTGGGGGGAAGATGTCCTTGAGCTGAACCTTGAAGGAGCTAAACGTTCCAGGAGACAGATGAAGAGGGAGAACAGTCCAAGGATGGGGAACAACCAACCACCTCAAAGACACAGGGGCTAGAGCTGGAAATAGAAAATAGGCCAGCCAGTCTGTCTGGAGTGTAGAAAACATGAGGGTGAGTTAGGGGGAATCAGCCTGGAAACACAGGCTGGAGCTGGGCTGTATAGGGCTTTCAGCGCCAAATAGAGGAGTTTGTACTTTGTGTAAAGGTAAAGGGTAGCAGCCACTGAAGCTTTTGAGTAGAGAAGTCACATACTCAGATCTCCATCGTAGATATCAGAGGAAGGATTCAATAAACAAGAGAAGATGCCTGGAGATTACTTAGGAGGCTATTGCCTATCCTAAATGGATAGAGTGCTGGGCTTAGGGCAGAGGTGAGGAGCCTGTGGCCACATGTGGCCTTAAGGCTGCAGGTTTCCCACCCCTGGCCTAGAGTCAGGAAGCCCTGAGTTCAAATCCAACCTCACTAGCTGTGTGACCCTTGGTAATTCATTTAATCTCTGTCTGCCTTAGTTTCCTCAACTGTAAAATGAGGATAAGAATATCACCTCTATCTCAGGGCTGTTGTGAAGATCAAATGAGATAATATTTGTCAAACCTCTCTGCACTGTGTCTGGCACATAGCAGGAGCTTATAAAAATGTTTTTTCCCATCCTGTAATCCTTTTCCTGTTATCTTCCCATGACACAATCACCTGAGCCAATAGGCACATATTTTTATAGGAAATGGAGGCCTAGGAATGTCTCCAAATTATTGATGGCTTTGTAGGTCAGAGTATTCTGGAAAACATATTTCATCTCCTTAAACATGACTCTGTTGTATGAGTCCTGTATTTTGCTTATTATGCTATACTACTCCAATGCTTTCCTATCTCTGTTTGCTCATACTGTTTCCTCTGCCCATAATGTCCTTTCCTACAGTTCCAAGTGTCCATTTCCTTCTCATTCTTTAAGAACCAGTTCACATGTCATCTTCTTCATGAAGCCTCTTTCCCTGATGCTTCATCCAGAAATGATCTCTCCTTCCTTTGGACCAACATAGTGCTCAGTATCTGGTCCTTCTTCCTGTTCTTTCCTAATTTTCCTTTTCTAATAGTTCTTTGAGGGCCAGCATCAGAACCCAAAACCAGGATAGGGTGATTGGAGTTTTGCCCTAGGGGTAATACTTGCTTAAGGGCAAGAAATTAGCCTGGGGAGGGAAAACTTAATTGATGAAGAGAAAGTGAGTAAGACAGCTGTGCATCTCAAAGGAAGAAGGCAGAGTAGCTCTGTGTTGGGATGGGAATGGAGTGACAGGATGTTAAAAGTAGGATTGGGAGCATATGACTCTACCAGATAAAGGAGGCAACACAGGTGTTAAGCAGCTGAGAAGAAAAGGAGTTGGCTTTGGGGTAATCTCTGCCCTGACAATCCCTTATCTCCACCCCAATCTCATAATGGTGGAGGTGGAGGATGGGAGAGTGGGTTTTTCAGAAGAAGAAAAAAAGTGACTGGTCCATGGCCAGGGTGATGATTTGGGGAGTGTGAGTGGGGGGAATGGTCCATAGGAAGATTAGTTTGAAAGGAGAGTGGCTACCCTGTGAGCCAAGAAGGGGTCTTCCCCAAGAAGGGCTTCTGGGACAGGGACCAGGCTGCTCTAGGGAGGAGGCAATGCTTCTCTAGGACTCTTCTCTACCAGATCCAGCTTAGGAGAGGAACAGTGGGAGGACCACTTCAGGGAGGAGGGGGAATCAGGCCTTTAGTCTTGGGACTTTCACTGTTACTCTAAACTGTACATTCCTTGCATCTCAAATGTCCACACATAAAAAGAGAAGAAGCAGAGCTAGCTTGGAGCCAGAATATATTTGGAACATCTCAGGGGTGCCTGTCTAGTAGCTTCCTCACCACCTCCCAGTTCAGCTTTTTATCCTGAATCACGAGATCAGGCAATGCTGCTCTATCCATTGGGGAAGTCAGATTCGAACATCGGCCTACAAGATCACTGGCCTGGGAATCCGGAGACCTCACGTCTAGTTCCTGCTCCGATACTTACTATACAATTTTTTAAAAGCTTGGAATGGCTTCTACAAGGCAGTCTTTAAGGTCCCTCTCAAACAGTCTGAATCTAAGAAGTTTGGGTCCTGTTGAACATCATTTCAGCTAAGCTCAGTTTAATTAAGAGATGAGTGAGTTTTCCTCTGTAGCTTTGAAAATATTGCTTCTATCCTTCCTGGGGCCTTTGCAAAGTAACCAATTATCTTTGAATTTCCAAATCTACTGATCTTTTCTTGATGCTCATCCTTCTTGACCTCTCTGCAGCCTCTGACACTGTTGACCACCATCTGCTCCCATACACTCTCTCTACTCCGATACGACCCTCTCCTGGTTCTCATGCTACCTGTCTGACCATTCTTCAAAGTGAGTCCCTGCTTCTCACCACTCACACAACTACCACCCTAGTTCATCTCTCAACTAGACTTTGCAATAGCCTCTTAATTGTCCTCTCTTCCTCATGTCTCTCCCTCCTCCAACACATTTTCCATTCAGTTGACAAAATGACTTTCCTGAAGTGGAGCTCTGTGGATATCATTCTCCAACTTGGACTACGGGGGTTCCAGCAAACTGCAGGATCAAATTTAAAATCCTTTGACTGGCAATTTTAATGCCTTTCACAACCAAGTCACTTGCTATATTTCCAAACTTCTAACTCCTTCCACACTTTACAATCTAGCAACCCCTTCCATCCTGTTGTTTCTCACATTGATGTGTCTCTGTTCTTTTGTATTAGTCATTTCCCATGTTTAGAATGTTGACTCTTCTAACCTCCAATCCTTAAACCCCCTGGCTTTCTTTAAAATTCAACCCAAGGTTTATCTCCTTCAGCAGGCTTTTTCATTTTTCTTTCGGCTAAGCAATGGGGTTAAGTGACTTGCCCAGTTAGTTAGTAAGTTAGTCAAGTGCTGGATTTGAACTTAGGTCCTCCTGACTCCAGGGCTGGCGCTCTATCCACTGCACCACCTAGTTGCTCCTAGCAGGCTTTTTCTGATCATCAGCCACCTCTCCCAGGTACTAGGGCCATCAACCCTAAGGTTGCCTTCCATCTATTCCATATTTGTCTTCTATGTTCTGATTTACATATATTGTCTCCCCTACTAGAGTATAAGTTCCTGGAGATCAGGGCTTGTTTTAGCTTTTTCTCTGAATCGCCCATGCTTAGTACAGTGTCTGGCACATAGTAAGTATTTAATAAATGCTTGTAGATTAATTGTATGCTATATTAATCCAACCTCATTGTAAACTCCTTGAGGACAAAAGGTCCTTTCTCTTTTACATTTATACTTCTACTAACACCTTCCACATAATTAATGATGGCACAGTATATAGTGTGTTGGACCACAAATCAGGAAGAACTGAATTCAAGTCCAGCCTTAGATGCTAAGCAACTGTATCAAGCTGGGCAAGTGACTTAATCTGCTTGCATTTTTTTTTTGTAAAAATGGGGATAACAAAGCACCTACTCTCTCCCTTGACCCAATGTTGCTGTAAGGACCGAATGAGGTATTTGTAAAGCACCATATTCATAGCAGCTACTATTATTATTCCATGAAGTTGATAAATATTTTTCCTTTTTAAATTAATTTTTTAATTAATAAAAGAATAGATACACTAATAAAGAACTGCTAATAAAGAGACTCTAATCAGTGGTTTTGGGGGTTGGGCATGATGCCTAGAGACATGGTCCTTGGTTGAAAGAACTAGTGAGAAATGTTGACCAGCATGGTACATGCTGCAATCCTTTCAGAATGTTGCTTATCAAAATGTGGTCAGTGCTTCCTTGCTTAACCATGTAAGTGTGGTTACCAGAGGTGCTACATGGCCTAGTTATATTCTTCATTTTACTATTGCATTCTCACAATGCTTTGTGTGGGGCACGGGAAGTATGATAGGAATGAGCAGAAATCTAGTGACTGAATAACAAACTAAGAAGATGTTCATCTGTAGGTTGAGAGAATATGTGGGTAAGAGTGGATGGGGAGTTGTTTATCCCTAATTTGAAAATTCTAGGACCCTACTTGAAAAGAAGACAGGTAAGCTTGGTTATAATAGGTGTCCTATGTCATGCACTACTCTCCTGTCCTTCACTGGGTTTCATAGAGGGGTGGGTGCAGTAATACAATGACTCCATATTAAACCAGGAGGATGAGTAATTTGTAGGCTAGGATAACTTAAGGGCAAGTGTATATGTGTGGCTGGGAGGCATCCTTTATCCATGAGTTCCAGCTCCCTACATGAAATAAGAGACAACTCTAGAGTATCATTCACCATACGAGGTGCTGTTCACTCTCTTAACTGGCTCACCTTTGTAAATAATTATAGCGAAATAGCCAAAAGGAGGACACACAGGCACACAGATGAAAGAGCCAGGCTCATATCATGAACTTGATGCTAGAATTGTATTGGGGCTACAGAAAGGGAATTACAAGGATCAATAGTGATTCTCTACTGGATGCTGGAGCTGGTTAATGAAGTTCTTTGAGTTATCTACAGCACAGTCGGTAATATACACCAGAGATACAGCATGACCCAGAAGACAATTCCCGGCTAAGGCAGCTGGATCGACAGTAACAGACAATGTTCTTTCTCTGCTGAGGATCTGAAGAAAAGGAAGAGAGTCAATGAGTGTCACTGGGAAGTCTGAGGGACACATGTTCTTCTGCTCAGTTTTCCCTGTCACCAGGCCAAGAGAAGCCTGGACATTTATCACTGTGATACTCCACCCTCCACCACTCCCCTCACCCTGAGAGCCTACATATAAGAATGGAATAATGATGGCAGTTAATGTACTAGACATTTCATGCTTAGGGAGAAAATTGTGTGACAAAGGGAGATAAAAGAGGATTCTCCTCCAATCCAGCATACCCTTTGCTTTACATGCAGTAGTGGGTGCAAAGGCTCCAGGTCTAAAATGAAAATCAAGAAGCTAGGGTTCTAGAGTCAGCCCTGATAGCCCTTAATTGTGTGATTTGGAGCATAGAATTTCCCATCTTTGAGCATCACTTTCCTCAGCCACGATTTTAGGAGTTTTACTAAAAGGGAAGGATTCAAGTCCTTTCCAATAACAGCGTAACAAATTTTACAGTCAGAAGAATTCAAAGTCTCATCAATTCCCTTAGGCTGAAATAATATTTCTATGCTACAACTCCCAGATGTACATATCCAGGCCTAAGCTGTTTCCTAAGGTGTAGTCCTGCATCACAAAATGCCCATTTTGAACTGGATGTCCTGGTTGACTATATATGTCAAATGCAGAACTGATTGTCCTTTTGCCTAAATCCACCTCTTTTCTGATCCACCCTATTCCTGCTGTGAGGATATCAACCTCCTAGTCACACAGATTCCACACTGTATCCTCCTTTACTCCTTGCTCTCACTCTCCTCATGTATCCAATAAATTCCCAAATCTCCTTTTATCTCCTTTTATCATGATAGCTCTATGTCTCCTTCTCTAGCCACTGTCATAATCATCACACCCGGGTCAGGCTCTCACCGACTCTTAATTGGTCTTCCTACCTCAGTGCTCCCCCTCCTTCAATTTATCCTCCACTCAGATGTTTATGGTTTTCCTAACCTGCAGTATGACCATGCTACCTATGTCCCACTTAGAAGCCCCAGGGGTTCATTATTGTGGCATTCCTATGTCTAAGATCAAATATGAACTGTGACTAACACTTAAAACCCTTTACCAAGTGGCCCCATCCTAGCCCCTTCCTCTCTTCTTCCATATTACTCTCCAACTTTGTGGTCCAGATATACTCTTCAGTGTTGCTAGGAACCAAGTCTAAGTGCAGATGTGCTTTACAATACGAAGCATCCACACTGATCTGTGTTGTGCCACCAACTTCACCTATACCCCTAGGCCATACAACAGAGGGGAAGAAGAACTAACAAATGATTTGCCCAAGGTCACTTGGCCAGTAATATCAGAGAAGAGCTTGAACCTGGGTCTCTACTCTAGCTCAGTGAGTTTACTTGCCAATGGTACCATGGTATTCCACCATACCTCAGTGACATTTATGGCCTCTGACTGTGACCAAGTGTTCCTCTCTGACATTTGTTCCATGTAAACAGCCCATGTTCTTTCATGTTGTCAGTCAGAACCCAACTGCCCCAACCTTGCCTACACCTCCCAACTATACCTGTACTTTATCTTCTCTTGAATATTCCAAATCCAAGAAATTCCTTCATAATGTGGGGCTGTTTCTTTTTCCCTTTGGCTTTTTCTGTGGAGTAGGAGGAAGCCTACCATTGACATCAGTCTGCCCTCAGAGTAGATCTGGCAAGTTTCACAATACCGGCCATAGAGAGAATGACAAAGCTGGAAAGGACTTTAGAAATAACTTACTCCATCCCCTCACTTTACAGGAACAAGAAAACAAAGCTCATAATGAGGAGAAGAATTGGAAAAAATCCAGTAGATTCTTGGTGACGCAGTTAGGACTAGAACCTAAGTTTCTTGTCCCTCAGGCTGGTGCTCTTCCCATTCCATGCCAGTATCCTTTTCTCACCTGAAGCTATTATATCAGAGCCCTCTGCATCCATGAAAGGGAGATCAGGAAGCTGGTTCTCAGCCACAGACTCTTCCTGAGTCAGCATCTCTTCTTCACTTTCCTGAGCGTGGACCTAGATGGTCAAGGAGACAACAGTTACGAGAAGAAAGAAGGTCTTCATGGTCTGAGGGCTCCTGGTGCTAGAGAGTCACTAATGAAATAGTAGCAGCCTGCTTGTCTCCAAAGAGCAGAGAAAAACTGATCCCTTATTTCTACCAGAGTTCAGGAAGCCACATCACAGCCTGCCACTCACAAAGAAGGAAAAGCCTAAGAATTCATGGGGACAGGTGGATCTGATGTCATCCATTTTCTCCTAAACCTGCTTTGAGGTTCTTCTGGTCTCATAGATCCATCCACATATGTACCAAAGTCTCATTTATTTATTTTGTGCCTGTTTCCCATCTGGCTACCTATTTGCCTCCTACATAGTCAGGGCAGATCTGAGGAAACCTTCAGATTAAACAGAAAAACTCCAGGTAAGTTCCTTTAGGTTATTGCCATCCACGAAAGACTTGGCATTGCTAGATGTTTTCCAAACTTAGTTGAATCTCAATTTCATGCAAGTGAAGTACGGTTCATGCAATTAATATTTTGTTCATTTCTGAATGCCACTTTAGAGGAAGGACATAGATAAAATGACAGTTATACAGGGCAGGATCATCAGATACTTGATAATAAGTTGTATAAAGATTAGTTGAAAGAATCATGGGACTTGGATCACAGAAGAGGAGAAAGCTAAATGTACATGACAGCTGACTTCAAATATTTGAAGAATTGTGTTGGAGGCCCCACTTCCTCATCAACCTCAGCTGTTGAAGACCTAGGAAAAAAGTTCTCTTCATCAAAGTGTTTGGGTCTGTCAAATGGTTGAGGAGTGTCTGATTTTATTAGTGGAATTTAATACTTGCATTACCATCCATTTTGTTGCTTCACTCTGAGAAGCACTGGATCTCTCTATATGGTTTGTATCTATAAGTATTATTTTCTCTCATTAGAATGTGAACTTCTTTAGAACACAAAGCATGTTTTGTTTTCCATTTGTAACCCCAGCACTTATGGCAATGTGATTAACGCATGCTTTTTTTCCATTACTTCATGTAAGGATGAGTAGATTTTTCTTTCTGCTTGGTCTCAGAGGACAGAAGTAAGGGAATGCTTGCCAAAGCCAACCCTTTTACTTATGCTCTTAATCCCATCTTTCGCCTTCAGTAAAAACTTGCATATTCAATCAGACCCATTTGATTTCACCTTGAAAAAGATGGGAATAATAGTAATAGCTTACATTTACAGAGTATTATAAAGTTGGGAAAGGATTATACAGATATCTCTTTTGCTATTCATAATTATGCAGGTGGTATTATTATCTCCATTTTCCACATAAGGAAAGTGAGTCTTCGAGAGGATGGAATTTGCTCAATGTTCCACAGCTAGTAAATATGTGAAGCATATTCTGAATTCAGGTTTTCATGACTCCAAGTATAGACCTCTATCCATTATACCCCTCCATCTCTAGTTTATGAAGGAGAGGCAGGGGAAGTAGAGAGGCAGACTTGGTCACATTGGAGTTCCAGGCAAAGCCTCAGGGAACACTCCATCAGGACCTGAAGATGATTTTGCCTGATGTGCACGCCCTATGAGGATCACGCTGCCAAGCTTGTGACACTGGGGCCTGACCTCCACCTCCACCAAGCACACATAGCCAGCCCAAATGCTCCAAAAGGAGTAGGCTGGTAGAGCTTGAATCCCTTACACACAGTGCTTTGTATGTATACAAATTGGTTTATGGTCAGTTACTTCATTTAGTCTTCACAGTATACTTCAAGGCAGACCAGCAAGTACAATAATCTTCTCTTTTCATCTAAGTCACCTAAAGCCCAGGGCAACTTGAAGGACTGACTCAAGGTCTACAGCCTCCAAAATGAAGAAACTGGCTCTACTCCAGCTTAGCCTGTGGAACATTCTGAAGGTTCCAACAATTAATCCATCTATTAAACACATATTTCCATCCCACCCTCAGGTAAAAGTGGTGTCCAAGACAGTGAAAAACTGTTTAGGAAGATAGAAGCAGTCAGCAAGGACATGGAAAGCATATGGCAAGGAAGTTCCCAGGGATGTCAGGTACCATCCTTCAGAGTCCTAAACACTGTTTTTTTTGTTCTTCTTGCCCACAGTTGGGTCCCAGATCAGTCGAAGCACATTCAGTCAAACTTTCTAGGTCTATGCCCAACTTCTTTGCTCTGAGTAGTCTTGGTTGGTGTGATGGAAATGTGGAGGCCCATGGGCAGGCAGCTCTCCAGTTTGAATAATACTCTGGCCAGTATCATAGCTCAGGATTGTCTGACCCCATATTCAGTACTCTTTTCCCAGTCTCTTCTAGCCTTTGTGGGGAATACTATAGTGATGAATTCTAGCATATTGGGCACCAGACTAAAAGCAGAATAGAGAGCTTGGTTGCAATAGGTACCATCTGGGGTTCAGGAAGAAAGGTAAGGGAGGCAGCATCTCTATCTCAGGAGAGAAGCAAAAAGAGACCATAGATGTGGCTCTATTTGGAGATAGGGCATTAGTCAGTTGGGAAGTGAGTAATTTTTTATTAGTTCACTCTGAATGGAGTCCAGATAGACCATGAAGGTCAAAGGGAACAGATCAAAGAAACATCAAAGGACAGGCTTCAATCATCACCCCATGTCAACATCTGAGCCACTGCCCTGCCCTAGAGGACCTCTATAAATGTATCCATGAGCCCTCATCATCAGCATTGCTGAGACAACTTCAGTACCTGCTGTCTACTCAGCGACACCAAAAATCCAGCCTAGCTACAATCATGAGGTCCCTCTGCCTCCTATTTGGCCTTCTCTTCTTGGCTGTCCAGGCCATAGCTGTGAAACCACCAGAAGAAGATACAGGACCCAGTTCTCAGGGGGAAGAAATGGAACCTGGGAGAGAGATGCAGGCAGGAGAGAGATGCAGGCAGAAGAGGCTGGGGAGGCTGATCAATTGACTCTGAATAAGATGCCCCTCAAGACTTCCTCCTGGTCAGTTCCACTCCAGGTAAGGGGACATCATGGCAGGGTAAGGGAGAAGAATTTGGGCAAAAACAAGAGCCAAAAGTGATGGCCTTCACATTTACCTCTCAACTGCTTTGCACAGGCTGTAGTTTTTTTTCCCCTACCAGCAAGTAAACCCTGTACTTAATGAGAAAGATTAAAATCTTTTGGTAAATGTCATCACTGTTCATTCATATACTTTCTTTAGAGGAAAAAATGGAGAGGAGAAAGAGAAAGGCAAGATGGGAGTGAAAGAGGGATACAGAGATAGAGAAAGAGAAACAGAGAGAAGAAGATGAAGAAAAAGAAAAGGAGAGAGAGAGAGAGAGAGAGAGAGAGAGAGAGAGAGAGAGAGAGAGAGAGAGAGAGAGAGAGAGAGAGAGAGAGAGAATGTGGTGGGGCAAGTTGGACTAGAGGCATGGTATAAAGAGATAAAAAATGAAAGTTACCCTACTTTACCAGCAGGTAAGACAGGAAGAACAAGAAATAATCCTCCCCAGGCTACCAGCATTCCTCAGACTCTATTTAGATGAGGGTATTCTTGTTCTCAGTTGACATGATCATATGCTTATAGTTCCAGAGGTGGAAGGGACCTTGAATGCCACTTAAATGAGGAAACCCAGGCCCATAGAGGTTCAGGAAGTTAAATTACTTGCCTGAAGTAAAAAAAAAAAGATAGTAATCATCAAGAGTAGGACTTGGCCCCAGGTTTTTGACTTCAGTGATAGTGATGTAAACAGAGCTTTCAGCAGGTCCTCAAACGGGGGGGGGGTGTTTCCTGATCCAGTTAGACTGCTGGTCTCCACCTCTACCACTGCTGCCCAGGAAAGGCTCTACACAGATATCCCGATTTGTGCCACACTCCAGTTGTGTACTAGTTAAGAGTTCTCTCTTTTAACTCCCTCATTCCTACCCCAAAATCTCCACTGTTTCTTGACCTCTGTGTCCTAACATTTAAGATCTGGGAGAGCTTGGGCCAATCACTACATGCCTCTAAACGCCAGTTTCTTCATCTGTAGAATGAGGGAGTCAGATAAGCGGCCTCAGATGTCTCTTCCAGCTGTAGGTCTAGAACTCTGTGATCTCTCCCTATCACACCAACCAGGAGCAAGCTCTTTGTCTAGTAAAGTCCTCACTTCAGAATAATAAACCACAAGGTACAAATGTTCTCAGCCTGGTCCTTGTTGGTGATGTGCTAACATGCACTGTTGCCACCAGCAACTTTCAACCTTGCTTCCAAGAATCATAGGTTTTAATCCTTGCTTCTGCCACTAACTTGCAGTGTAACAAATCATTTCATCTCTTTCATCTTCCCTTTCCTCTTTTGCAAAGTAAGGATGTTGGACTAGATGGACTTTAAGGTCCCATCTCACCCTGACAGTCTTTAAACTACGATTCTACAATCTTCCCAGAATCCCAGACAGCAGGACTGGAATTGTGCTGCAGGGGACGGGCTTCCAGGGCCTAATCTGTGATCAGGGTAGTACAGATAGTTGGGAACCATTCTCAATCCCACCTTCCTGGAGAGTTGTTTTCTCCTATAATGCCACACATGAAACAACCCATCTCCTAGAATGGTAAAGTATAATGTAGGGAGAATGGAATCTGGTGTCAGGCGTCCTGGATTCAGAGTTTGCTTTGCCAAGACCCAGCCCATTGAGCTCTGAAAGCCTTCTAATTCCTATTCTTAGGAGTATCTACTATAGGTATCTTACTCTTACAAAGGAACTTCCCCTCAATGGCCTGATAACCAAGGAATTTTGGTAGGCCTTTGGTAATCTAACCCTAACACTGACCTATAGAGAACCTGTCTGACATCATCTTGTATATCGCAGAGAAGATTGCAAAAGGGGAAAAGTGAGTAAAGGTCAGACCAGTGAGGCAACTTCTATCTGGGTTCATGAAGGGATGTTGGGAGACAAGGGCTTTGGAAAATGTCAACTGGGAAGTGGGTTTTCAGCGTTATTATGTGGGCCTTTCAGCAGTCTTTTGAGTAGGTTATTGGGATATTCAATCATTTATTAGTCATAGATGACTAATTAGAGCTAGAAGGGACCTTAAAGGTTATCTATGCCAGTCCCTTCTTTTTGGGACTCAGGGACTAAGTGATTTAAGCAAGTTCACAAAGCTAATCAACATCTTAGCTGGAATCTGAACCTTCCAGGTTCACCCTCCAGATTCTACTACACCACACTGCCTCTGTGCACTATGAATTACGATGAGGTACCTTTCGCAGCAAGCACAGTTATATGGGGCCAAATTAGGAGTAGCTGAGCTGTATTCCAAGCTGACAAAGCAAACTCCCAATCTTCTTTCTGCACAGGGCAGCACTCTGTTCCTGAAGAAACACATGTCCGAAGGCATTGGGGAAACGTTGTTGCATGCAGAATTTCTCAGGATACATTTGCTGCTCTTTATAAGCCTCTGAGAGCCATGAGCAATGCAGAGCTGTCTGGCTGTCCTTGGGAATCTACTGATTGACTATTCAGTGTTCAGAATCCTCTTCATGCAATTACAACCTTATCTTTTGAGACATGTGTCTGTGTGGTGACTGTACAAGCTGTTTTCCAGAAGTTCTGTCACTTCTGAAGCTCACTAGTTCTCTCAGTGGGTTATTGACTCATTTTTTTTCTCCCTTAAAGACCTTGGCTTCTCTTGTCAGAAGTCCTTTCCCTAATCCTTTGGGTACAACTATCAGGTATTTGTCTAGCCTTTAATAAACTCATACCAGTTTTCATTTCTGTGGTATTGAATGTCCTTTTGTCACAAGCAACTGGTGAGGATGACCGTGAAAGTAGTTTTACAGAATATAGACATCATCTATTCTGATTTCTAATTCCCAGTTCCAAGAGGAGGAAAGTGAGGTCCAAAGAGCCAAAATGTCTGCCCAAAATAATGTGGATAGTGCTTGGCACAATGGGGATTGCAACCTTGGCCTCCTGACTTCAAATCCATCGCTTTGTCCACTCTGTCATATTACCTCCAATTTTCAGATAAGACAATTTAGTCCCAGTAGGGTTAAATAATGTACCTCTGGGCACACAGCTAGTAATTTTAGAGGTAGGATTCAAACCCAACCTTATTTCACAATCTTCCCTTTCAGATACCATTCAGCAACATGAGCAAGCTCACTATTTACCCCCAAATTCCCCATTCCCTCTGCTAGATTTTCAGACTCTAGCCAAGCACAATGTTCTGTCTACAACATCCAAATGGCAAATGTTGGAACCATATTACTCCCACCCCTATTTGGCAAACTCACTCTTGGCACTCACCTTTTTCTCTTAAAAATTTTTTCTCTTGCATTGTGTATTTGATTACCAACAAACTCAAAATGGCACTCTACCAAAATAACAACAAAAATAATCTCTTACATTTATGTCAAATTTTATAGTTTACTATTCACTTTAAATTCATTAATATGATATTGTGGTAGAGAGAAGATTTACTATGGAGTCAAAAAAGTTTGGTTTTATACCCCAGCACTTGCTAATTTTCTGACCATGATAAATCTCTTATGTCCTCTGGACTTCCTTTTCCTCATCTGTAAGATGGGAGATTGGACTAGATAATCTCTGCAGTCTCATCCATCTCTAGATTTTGAATCTATGAAGCTATGAGCTTATTTAATTCCTCGGAACAAGCCATGTGACAGAGGCAGAGTAGGGATTATCCACCCCATTTTCAAATGAGGAAACAAAGTCTCAGAAAGATGACGTAACTTGCTTAAGGTCAAAGTGCAGAAAAGGGAACCCCAATCCTCTGATTCCTGCTTCAATTATTACTCTGAAGTTGAGAACCACTACAAATCAATCCCTGTTTTTTTTTTTAGATTTTAGAAAGTAATGGACAAAATGTTAATAATATAGATTAAACTTTTGTTTCTTTTTTGCAAGGCAGTCAGGGTTAAGTGACTTGCCCAGGGTCACACAGCTAGTTAAGTGCCAAGTGTTTGAGGCTGGATTTGAACTCAGGGTCTCCTGACTCCAGGGCTGGTGCTCTGTAGATTAAACTTAAAAGGATGTCCTGTGTACTTTTTTTTTTTTGAGAGCTGGCTGTTAAACATTCATTAGCACATTCCTGTCCCAAAGGGATTATTGACTTGAATGGGTTTCTCCAAGAAGGTGAAGGAAAGCTCAATATTAAAACTTTTCAATCTAATGCCTTCCCTCTGGCTCATGGTCACTCAGGCTAACTCTCAATCTTTCCCTATAACATTAGAACAGATATTTCTAACTATTTTCACTTTTTGTTTTTACTGAAAGTGGATTTGTTTCCCCTTAATATCAAGAAGATTGACTACACAGTAAATATCCATGAAAAAGAACTTTGAGATTACAAACCATACTCTGACTTCCCCTCCATTAAGCCTAAATATACTTTTTTGTAACTTCCATCCATTATTCCTACTTCTAACCTTTAAGGCAAGGCTGCTGAATATGGTGGGAATAAATAAATAAATTAATCTTCTACTATCTGATTTCAAATCTTCCTGGTTCTATTCTATGTGTCCTTAGACAAGCCAATTATTCTCTCAGAGTCTCAGTCATCTCCTGAAAACCTAAATGAAAACTCCCAGGAACATAATAGCCAAAAAGAAGAGCTTCCAGGTAAAGAAAAAATACTGTAATCAGCCGGAAGGAAAGAATTCAAGTATTGAGGAGACAGTTAGGATTACATACCATCTAGCATCCACCGGAAGGAGTGAAGAGCTTGGAATATGATATTCTAGAAGGCAGAAATCCTAGAGTGATTCTGAGTTGTACTCCTATGGTGCTTAGTAGTACTTATGGTAGAAGGGAAAGAATTGTATTGATTGTTTTTGAGCTTTTGTAGTTCCTTCTTGTGTTTCTTGCATTTGTTGATTTGTACTTATAAATCATATGTGTTCTTCTGTTTTCTGTGGTGTGAACTAAGGTCTGTCTAGTATACAATATTTGAATTGCTATTCTGAGTGTTTATGTGAAAGCTGAAAAACCTCCTTTATCCACACCAGTGGAAGACCGGCAATGAGGTATATAATGAGCAAAAGAGAAAGTGATACTTTAAAAATGAATGACCAGATCAGATCTAGCCTAGGTATGTGTATTGTCTTGGACACTGGGCCGTGGCTCACACTAAAATGTAATCTAGTCAGAGTACAGCTCAGCACACTGGGACTGTCACCTTTTGTAGATTATATGTCTTTCCTAAAGTAACCCAAGGCAGTGTTGATTTTATTTTGATTGCCATATAGACTGATTTTGCTCTTGCAGTCAACTAAGACCCTTAGATCTTTTTCACACAAATAATTATCTAGGCATGGCTCCTCCACCCTATATTTTTATAGTTTAATTTTTGGAACATGGGTATAAGATTTTAAACTTATCTTTTAAATGTAATTTTCTTAGATTAACCTTTAACCTGGCTTAATGACATTTTTTGGGATTCTGACTCTGTCTTACAACATGTTATCTATCCCTTCTAACTTGCTGTCAGCTAAAACTTTGGTAAGTAGGCCATCAAGTCCTTCATCTATTCCTTTGTTAAAAATGTAGAGAAACTTAACCCCATTGCCTAGACCAAAAAAAAAATGTAGAGAAAACAGTTTCATTGAGGGGATTGTTAGAACTTGTGATTACCTTTGGGGAGCTCCACATAGATGGGTAAATATCTCAGAGAGCTACTAGCATCCTGATCCAGGTGCAGCAAATGGGGGGAAAGTGTCAGTAGTTAGCACATCCCAACAGGATGAAGTGCCCCAGCTATGACAGGCATAGCTCTTTCTCTCTCATCTTTTTTTTTTAAAACCAGTGTCCTTTCTTCAAACTGCCTCCAAGAAACTTGACCTATTAGGTCCTAAAGCCTTCTGGCAGTTGTAGGACAGAGAGAATTTCACTTGTTTCCTTGACAACTTCCATTCTCCTTGAAAGAGAAGTGAATGGCCATTGGGTTTCACTTTCCCCTAGTTTAGCCATGAAAGCCTGGAAATTTAGGATAGGGGGCACAAGACACAAAGACCCTGCCAACACCTGTGTGGGGAAGCATTCGGGCCAGCTCTCTATATTAATGTGAAGTAGGTTAAGATTTCCTTCTTGGCCTTCTTCTTACCCTCTCTTCACCCTTTTGTTTCCTTCCTCAGGAAACCTATATTTCTTGGGTCTTACCTCCACAGGACATCCTTACCCTCAGTGAAATGTGAGCTCACTTCTACCAAGGTGATGGCTAAAAGTGGCTTACCTCATCATTCCCAGCACCTTGGCATGTCATTGGGAGATGCTGGAAAACTAAAGCCTTTATGAGTCAAGGGAATGACTCTCTAATGTGGAGTTTTAGCTACTATAAGAGCCAAAGGGAGAACTGTTTTTGAGTAGAGCAGTCTCTGGAATGGCCTCTCTCTTAGGATAAGGACACTTGAAGACAAGACAGTTTAATTGCTATAATTGTGGATAGATGGGAAACCTGAGGTCAAATATCTCTTCGACAATTCTTTTGCCTCTGGTACCTAACACCTATGAAAACCAATTAAAAATGTTTGAATTGAACAATAGCTCATATTTCCAGAGTTATTTATACTGTAGAAGTGATTTTCTTACAACAATCCTGTGATGGAGACATGCATGCCTTATTGTCTCCATTTTAGAGATGAGGGAAAGAAGCCTCAGGGAAACTCAGTGACTTACCCCAAATCACATCTGGGAAGTATAGTGGAGTCATAAGACCTGGGTTCAAGTGTCAGTCATAAATACAGAGCTCTCTTTGAAAGGTTCTCAAACTTTCTCAGTTCACAGATTCCTTAGTGTCTCATTAATTTTTTTTTATGTTAAACAAATGCCAAAGGAAATACCTAATCACTCTGATTATTAAGTAAACAATATGCTAAATATTGATTTGCTAACAACTAGTAGCCATTTGAAAAAAATGATACACAGAAATTGAATAAAAAATATTTTTATTTCATTCTTAAGTAACCACATGACTTCCTACTGTGATGTGCATTTCTGTTGGGTACTGCACAGCTTCTCAAACCCTCATTTCAGATTGGACACTGCCACCATCATTTCCTGTTCCTCATTTTTTTAATATGAAGTCATAAATGGAATTAGAATTGGCTGAGCTTTACTACTTAGTAGGGTACTATGTACCTCCACCGTGTTTCCCTCAAAAATGTAAATTATTCCATGGTGTCCCCGGCTGTGCTCAGTTTGGGAACCATAGTTCTATACAATTATGCCTCTTGGATTTGGCAACTCTCTATGGACTTCATCCTCTTCATTTATGAAATATGGAAACATCCCGACCATCCTCACTTCACCTATAAATTCTTACCCAAGAAATTCTTATGTTTGTTAGTTTTTTTTAAATGTAAGGATTAAAGAGATGGTATTTAATTATTTTTGCTTCAGAAACCATTCTTTGCTACATCAAATTGACTTCTAAGGTCTAATTCTAATTCTAAATGCTCCAGTATGCCTTTGAAAGAGGCAGGTAGTACAGGGGAAAGAACATGGGACCTGGAGCCAGAGAACTTAACTTCAAACCTAGCCTCTGCTACTTTCCCACCTTGGTGAGGTTAGGAAAAGTCACTTCTCCACGGGCTTGGGTTTCCTTCTATGTAAAATGAGGGGGTTGCACCAGATGATCTCTGAGGGTTTCTTCCAGCTCTAAATCTATCATCTTATGATAGAGCTCTTATTGATCTCTCCTTCTCCCAGGAGATTACAAGCTCCTTAAAACCAGAGATGGTTTTGTGCTTTCTTTGAATCCTCATTGCCTTGCACAGGGTCTGACAAATAATGGGAGCTTAAGAAATGTTGGTGAGATTGTATTATATTGAATTGCATCCCATAACCTGAAGACAAGAGACCAAGTGGCCATAATCCTGTCCACTGAAGCCCTCTGTAGGTCTTAATAAGGGAGAAGGCATCCGACTCCCCTTATGAGCAGAAGAGTAAACTTAGTATTTTCTGCTACTTCAGAGCGCACACTGTTCATATCTCATGATCCTAGAACATGCTTTAAAGAACATGTCTTGTTAGCAACTTAAAGCCTTTGACATCAGGCTAGGAAACATATAACTCTGGGATACTAATGCCAATTTTGTTTTTTATTCTACTTGATCAATACGATTGAGAACACATTCAGTTACAGAGATAAATCCACATTCTTTATTGAAAAAAGGCCAATTACAGGCCAAGAGATCGATTTCTTCATGAAACATCCTCCCTAAAAGTATTCAGCTATACTGTTTTTCTGACTGCAGCAAGATGTCGAGAAGCCACAGAAATCCACCAATTTTTCATTTCTTCCGCAGAACTGCTTTCAGCAGATACCATTTTTTTTGTTGACAATGAGCTTCTACCTCTGCCTTGAGTTGATCTGCAAATACAACCAAAATGAGCTAGAGTATTTCCAAACACAGATACCACATGGAAACATTTATTTGAATATTTTCTGTGAATTCAAAAATTATTTTTAGCCAACCCTGGAAAATGTCAAGAAGACTTATGTATTTTCCCAAGTCATGTAAGACCCTTCCTGATTCTGTGAGGCAACAGCACCTCAGCTCCTTCCCAGCTCTGACCAGTGGACTACAACCACAGATTCAAATAAAGGCAGCATTAAAGCCTCTTCTTGAAAAGCCAGTGTCACCAACCATCCTTCTAAACTCTGACTCAGCCCACTGGTATTTTAAGGTAGATTTCTACTACAGGCCATTCTCAGGCTCACTGTGATTTGGGTAAGATTCCTTCTTCACCCATTTCCCCAAATAGTCTATATAGTATTGGAATTAATTGTTCTTTAAATGTTTGATAGAATTCGCTTGCAAATCCATCTGGCCCTGGACATTTTTCCTAGACCAATTTCCCTAATGAATATAGATGTAAAAATTTTAAATAAAATATTAGCAAACAGATTACAGCAACTTATCACAAGAATAATACACTATGACCAGGTAGCATTTATACCAGGAATGCACGTCTGGTTCGATATTAGGAAAATTATCACCATAATTGATCATATCAACCACAAAACTAACAGAAACCACATGATCATCTCAATAGATGCAGAAAAAAGCTTTCAATAAAATACAACACCCATTCCAAATAAAAACACTAGAGAGCATAGGAATAAATGGAGTTTTCCTTAAAATAATAAGTAGCATCTACCTAAAACCTTCAGCAAGCATCATAAATAATGGGGACAAGCTAGAAGTATTTCCAATAAGATCAGGGGTGAAACAAGGATGTCCATTATCACCACTATTGTTCAATATTGTATTGGAAACATTAGCTTTAGCAATAAGAGAAGAAAAAGAAATTGAAGGTATCAGAATAGGCAAAGAAGAAACAAAGCTATCACTCTTTGCAGATGATATGATGATATATTAAGAGAATCCTAGAAAATCAAGCAAAAAACTACTTGAAATAATAAACACCTTTAGCAAAGTTGCAGGTTATAAAATAAATCCAAGTAAATCATCAGCATTTCTATATATTACCAACAAAGCCCAACAGCAAGAGATAGAGAAATTCCATTTAAAGTTACCACATAGACCTTATAAAATATTTAGGGGTTTACCTAATGAAACAAGCTGGGGAACTACATGAACATAATTACAAAAAACCTTTCACACTAATAAAGTCAGATCTAAATAATCGAAAAAACATCAGTTGCTCATGGGTAGGCTAAGCTAATATAATAAAAATGACAATTCTACCTAAGCTAATTTACTTATTCAGTGCCATACCAATCAAACTACCAAAAATTTGCTTTATAGAGCTAGAAAAAAATAATAACAAGATTCATTTGGAATAACCAAAGGTACAGAATATCAAGGGACTTAATGAAAAGAAATGCAGGGGAAGGTGGCCTAGCCATTCCAGATCTTAAATTGTATTATAAAGCAGCAATCATGAAAACTGCTTGGTATTGGCTAAGAAATAGTGGTGGATCAGTGGAATAGGTTAAATATGCAAGACACAGTAGTCAATGACTATAGTAATCTACTATTTGATAAGCCCAAAGACCCTAGCTTCTGGGATAAGAACTCACTATTTGACCAAAAACTACTGGGAAAACTGGAAAAGAGTATGGCGAAAACTAGGCATAGACCAAAATCTCATACCATATACCAAAATAAAGTCAAAATGGGTTCATGATTTAGATATAAAGGCTGATACTGTAAGCAAATTGGGAGAGAAAGGAATAGTTTACCTATCAGATATTTGGGGAACAGAAGAATTTATGACCAAACAAGAGATAGAGAACATTACAAAATACAAAATGGATAATTTTGACTACATTAAATTGAAAAGGTTTTGCACCAACAAAGCCAATGCAACCAAGACTGGAACCCAAGTGTCCTGCCGTCCACCTCAGCACAACTGCCACTATGCCACCTGATACCTATGTCCTTTAGGGTGTGTTAAAGAGAAATGCTTTCCTTTCTACCCTTGCTCTTTAATTGCCAACAGAGAAGGTTCTACAGCTCACCAGTTGTCCATCTCCTCTTTCTGCTCCTCCTCTTTGCAATTAGTTCAAGTGAATGGCTAACTGATGGCACAGGGTGAGATATTTCAGAGACAAAGTACTTGGTGTCACAGCATATCAGATCTATTCAGTCATCTTCTAAAGTCCTATGTTTGCATATTGTTAGTGTTGACTCTTTTCTTGTTGTTGAATTGAACTGAGTTTTTCTACAACCGCATCTTTGCAAAACAACTTCCTACTTTTCCTTCCCCCCAAGCAAAGTGCCCATGTGTATAGTTGGGATTCCAGAGGGATCCAAATACAAGATCATAGAGAAGGACAAGGATAGCCTGAGATTTGGAGAGAGCAGGAAAAAAATTGAACGGAAACATGTTTTCTTCCGGAATTCTCTTCTTTAGCCCCCAAAGTGCTAAAAATCTGTTCAGTTCTAGTCTGGGCAGTTGAGAATTCAGGGCTGGTCAGGCACTGGCATCTAGAAACAGAGATTAGCCTGAAGAGGCTCCTGCCAATCCCTTCAATATCCTTTAGGGGACATTGGGCATTTAGCATATACATTGTATATGATTAAACATTACATAACACAAAGGGTCCCCCAGAGAAGAGCTGGCTTATCCTGGGGTGTGATTCAAGATAAGGTACTTCTCACAGCTCAGCTCACTCTCAGCTGTAGTTCCTCACACGGAGAAAAGAAGAAACCTGGAAAAACAAATCTTGAGAGATTTTTGATTGGAAGTGCTGCTAGGCTAAGAATGGCCTTATCTCTGAAACTCTCAGTGCCCAAAGTCATTGGAGGCATAGAGGGGCCCCTCATGCTTGAGATGTTCCAGGGCCCCTTTTTTAAAGAGAGAAAATAGTTCTGTGGAGTGGGAAAAGCACTGGATATTGAGTCAAGATAGACCTTAATTAAATTCTATTTTAGGATTGCTATATCACCCTGGGCAAGTCATTTAAATTCTCTCAGCTTCAATTTCCTATGGTACTGGGAATAGAATAGTGATTTTATTGATACATGGACCTTCCAGGAAAATAAATTCCCAACGCAAGGTGGTACCTTCTCTGCAATTTATAATTTTAGAGAGATTCTTAAAACACTGTGAGGTAAGTTCGCTTATTCAGGGTCAGACAGTCAATATGTGTCAGAGGCATGATATATCAAGGTCTACCTGGCTTTGAGGGCAGAGTTCTATCTACTACACCAAATCCTGTCTATGTCTGTAAAATGGAGGTAATTATAGCACTTATCTCAAAAGGGTTTTGTGAGGATCAAATGAGATAATCAATGTATAGCTTTTTGAAAACCTTAAAACGCCATAGAAAATTGAGCAATTATTAAGGGAATGATAGGCATGCCAGTATGGGGAGGAAGGGCTCAGTTTGGTTCTAGCCAGGAGGAAAATGGCTTCTAAATCCCTCTGATTCTGAAAACATACCAACAAAAATTCAGATCAGAAAAAATACATTTTTGATCAGGTTATATTATAATAAAAATTCTCCCAAATTGCTAAACCTGATCTAGCCCAAAGTCTTTGCTTCAAACTACCTTGTACATATTGAATACTCCAGAAGTAGTTGTTGAATTTATTTAAACTGAATTGAATTTGTTCAGTTCTATGTATGCCCTTCTCTATTTTCCCACCAAAGAATTCCCTTTTAGTTTCCTTCATTCGTTGTCCAAGCTCCTACTTTATACCAACCTGTCACTTCAGTACAATATATAAACCCTGTCTTCAACACTAACATTCAGTTAATAAACATTTATTAAGCACCTCGTATTGTCCCAGGTGTTGTGTTAAGTGCTGGGGATATAAGGAAAGGCAAAAGATAGTCTCTGCCCTGGCAAGCTCACAGTCTAATAGGTAGATGGCCTATGAGCAGCTATGCACAAACAAGCTATATACAAGATAAATGTACAGAAGGAAGGCACTAGAATGACAAGAGATTAGCAAAGACTGCCTGTAGAAAGTAGGCTTTAACCTGAGACTTAAAAGAAGCCAAGGAAGCCAGGAGGCAGAAGTGAGGAGGAGAGAGAGTATTCCAGATATAGCGGATAGTCAGTAAAAATATTTGGAGTTGGGAGATGGAGTACCTTGTTTGAGGACCAGAAAGGAGGCTGGTGTCACTGGCATGAAGGTATGCAGTGGAAGAGGAAGAGGTAAGATATTAGAATACTGGAGAGGTGAAGCATGTGTGTGTCATAGGGTGTTGCTCTGTTGTAAAGGGCTTCAAAAGCTAAATAGTGTATTTTGTATTTCATCTTGGAGGTGATAGGGAGCCACTGGAATGTATTGAATAGGGTTGGGGTGACATGTTGATCTGGTTTTCCAGAAAATGCTTTTTTCAGAAAAATTTCTTTGGTAGGTGAGTGGAAGATGGAATGGAGTGAAGAAAGATTTGTGGTAGGTAGACCAAGTAGAAATCTATTACATTAGTCCAAGCAAGAGGAAATGAAGGTCTACACCAGGAACTGTATTTGAGAGATGTTGCAAGGGTGAAATAAGCAGGCCTTGGCAACACACTGAATATAAGGGTAAGAGATAGTGAGGAGTGGAGGATGATACCTAGGTTGAGAACCTGAGAGATCTGGGAGGATGCTGGTGCCCTCAACAGTAATAGTGAAGTTTTGATGTAGGGAGCTTTAAGCAGAAAATAATGAGTTCAGTTTTTGGACCTGACACCTCCTGATTCCATAGAAGGGCCAGAACCACCATTTGGGAAAATACTACCACTGTATTTCCCCAGAATGTCTTCCAAACTGGGGACTGAAAAATATAACCACCATTTTGGGAAATGCTAAATTGAAACCCCTAGGAGAGTTGTAGAACTATTATATCTTACCTGTCTCATTTCTTTTCCCAGGTCTTAAAGGCCACCGGAAGTTAGCCTTCTCCATTTTTCCATCCAGAATGGGGAAATCATCCGCTTGTTCTGCTTCATCATGGGTTAGGGTCTGAACAGCCACAAAGAACACAGCAAAGAGAAGACAGAAGGTCTTCATCCTGAAGGGCTGGCTAGTTTGCAAGGGTCACAAAAAGAGAAAACACAGACGACCCCCAACTGTGGCCCACTGGAGAAGAGAGCTCTGTTTATAAAGCTTCAACTGGAGCCCAAGGGGACAATCAGGAATGAAAGGGAAGACTCCAATTATAGGTTTATAACTTTTTTTTAAACTTCTCCTTTGATGTTTTTCTGATCTTTGATGTTTCTCTGGTGACCTTTACCAGCTCAGCATCTCATTGTCATAGCCCTATGATCCCCATATGTCTCCTGATTAGCCTTTTACTGGCATCCTATCAGAGGGAGGAAGCCATATTTTCTCATTTTATTTTCTGTTTTGTTTGTTCTGTTTTGAGAGGAGATCTCCCTATCTTCCCCAGGCGGGAAGTACATCAGTCCACTTGAGCCTATTCCAATCCTAATCAGCACAGAAACTTTGAAATGTTTCATTTGTCTGACCTGGACTGATTTGCCCCTCTGTCAATGGCCATCTGTTCCCAGGGGTCTTACCCCATTTAGTGCTAGATTCAGTGTGTACACTAAATCAGAATTCCCCCTAATGAAGCTCAGAATTCCCAACCTCATGCAGTTCTCCATCCTAAATCCTCTCAAGCACCAGGGATTACAGGTATGGACCACCACCACAGATGTCTATGCTAGCCTTTTTAAACGATCATCTTTTTGTCCTCAAAAAGATAACTCAGTAGCAGTTATGATGGAAACAATAATAGTTTGATGCTGTATTTCAGCTAGTTAAAAACCTGTCTCCTAATACCCACTTTGGCAAACCATCCTTTTGCTGATGTGGTTAGCTACCTCCAATGTTACCATCCTTGGATTCAGGGTAAGATGCTAACTATCAGGACCTGTTAAACCAAATTGCATAATCTTTTGTCCCCTCCTCAGAGGGATCTGTCATGATAGTGACACAAGCTCTGAGTGCCACAGTAACTGCCAAGCTGCAGGATGTGAATGACATAGGCACAAGGGAGTCCCAAGTTCATAAGCCTGTGGAGCAGACAAGAGCCTGCCATTTTCAGCCATTATTTATTAGTTCTCCTGAGTGGTAGGAAGAAAACCCCCAGAAGTAAGAAGCAAGGAGCTGAGATTCTAGGCCCAGGTTTCCTGCTTGCTCACTGTGTGACCCTTGGGTAAGGTTCTTCCCTGTTCTGGACCTCAGCTTCCTCTAAAATGGGGATAGTGATCCTTGCCCTGTCTCTCTCATAAATGTAGTAATGTATAGCAAAGCACTTTATAAACAGTAAGAAGTCACTGAACAAATTGCAGGGTTTTTATGTTCATTATTCCTATAAGAAATAGCAAGACACTCTGGTAGAGAGATAGGGAGCTTCAAGTTTCAGGCCAAGTCAAATCACTGCCATTACCTCGATCACCACCTCACCTCAGTTCCCTACAGACGAGAGCCCTGGAAATACACATGGCCCCTATTTCCAGATTAGCCCCTGTAACCATCATTCAAGGAAGTAACTCCTGTGGAGATGCAAGCTGGCAACTTCCTCTCAGGTACTACAGCCTTGACCTCCTCAGCAGCTGCACCTACTGAAGATCAAGAAAAGAAAGTTCTCATCCCCACAGTCTTTACCAGTGCCAAATGGCTTAACATCAGAAGCAGCAGCAGTTTTATCATTGTGAATTCCGTTAAAGAAGATGCCTTACCATCTGCTTTGCAACAGCACCCTAAGGACCAAGGAGCCTCTTCATGATTTGCTGCTGAAACTGCTACATGTTGTTTCCTTCATTAGAATGTCAGTTCCTTGTGAACAAGTACTGCCTCCACTTTTCTATTTGTATCCCCAGGACCTAGCACTACTATGTGCCTTGCATACCATTTGTTGTTCAGTTGTTTAGTCATGATCTATTCTATGTGACCCCAGGGAGAAAGTCCATGGGGTGTTCTTGGCAAAAAAAAAAATACTGGAGTAGTTTGCTATTTTCTTTTCCAGTGTGTTCCAGTTTTACAGATGAGGAGCTGAGGTAACTAGGCATTAAGCGATTTACCCAGGGTTACACGGCTAGTAAGTGTCTGAGGCCAGATTTGAACTCAGATCTTCCTGACTCCAGGCCAGGTGCTCTATCCACTGCACTACCTAGTTATCACTTTGCACATAAGTACTTAATAGATAACCTTCCTTCTTTCCCTCCTTCCTTTCTGTCTTCCTTCTTTCCTTCCTTTTCTCTCTTTTTCCTTTCCTTCCTTATTTCTTTACTTCCTTCCTTTCTTCCTTGTTTCCTTCCCCTTTATGCCCCACAACATCACCAGAACAATCTACGTGTATGTTGTATCCAACCACCCAACAAGAATTTAAACTCCTTAACAAAGGGGACATTTGGACTTCTGTAACTCCAGTGTCCCACATAATGCCTTGTACATAGTACGTGTAGGGAAACAATGATTTCTTTCCACTGGCCAAAATATACACCAACACAGCAGGGTTTTGCTTTTGACAAATACATAATACAGGCAAGAGTACAGGCTAGGTGGGTGAAGAACAATGAAATTGGCTTCTTAGTTTACTTTTTTTTTAACCTGACATCCTAAGAAAGCCAACTTTAAATGAAATAGTTCTCTGGAATTTAACCCTATGTGAAATAATTATCTGGAAATGGGAACTCTAATCTAGGTCCAAACATAGGGGTGGAAAGGAAAAAGACTTAACCTTATGCTAGTGATACTCTCTGGCTTTTGTTAGCTGAGTGAGCTTACTGACTAAACTGCTGGTGGTGTGTACAGAACAAAAAAAGAGGATCTAGCTATCACACTTTAGCTAACTGTATCTGAGATGGCCAGCAGGTGTCTCTAAAGAGCCAAAATTTAGAACGGGGAGCCAAGAACAACAGCAAAGGCAATCCTCAAAGTCACTTCACAACTTATCAGTAGAACAACATGCTAGGAGAAGACACCATATGAGTCAGTGACCAGACCCAGGTATAGCAGTGTGGTGCAGTATTAGAAGCATGAGCTGCCCTTCTACCTGTGTTCACTGGCCACACGTGTACTCTATGTGTTTAGATCTAATGTATGATCCCTATGCAGGGACAGTCTCCCAATTTTAAGTTGTATTATTTATAGGAGAGTATGCTCCTGGTTAATGGGGTGGGAATCTTCCATTATGACCTTTCTTATTATGTAATTTCATCATTAAATGCCTTTGCTTTGAAGTAGTTGTGTTCTCTTGCTGATTTAAAAAAAAACAGTAGCTACATAGTGGAGGCTCAAGAGTCACGTTTTTGAGTAGGTATGGACCTAAAAAAGTACATTCCATATAGGATAGCTTTTCTGAGGGCCCAATTTGTGATGGAAGGAGGTCCCTAGGGCCTACATAGGTACTTAATAAATATTTGTTTAATTCAGTTGTATTGGTTTGACTAAATTACCCCATACTACTCTGTTTTATTTAGTTTGGGCTTTTTCAACAGTACTTCTTTTGAAATAATCTGGCTAGTGTACAAATGTGGGAGTTGGCACCAGTTTTCTGATTGATGTAAAGATTTTTTCGATTTTCTTGTGACAGTGAAGAGTTAAAGATGGATCCCCTTGAAACAAATTCCGGGTCTCCTTGAACTGTAGAGAGATTGGGAAAAAATAAAATCACTAGGCATGAAATCAAGAGATAGGTTTGAGTATTTACTTTGCTGCTTACCAAGTTCATGACTAGGTAAATCACTCCTTTAAATTTCAGATTCCTCATGTGGAAAATGGAGACAAATAGACTTAACACAACCTCCCTTATGGAGTTGTTGAGGTAGAGAAGGAATGGTTAGAGAACCATAAGCTGCTAGGGAAATGGAAATTCTGATTATGCCATGGATAGTCTGAAACAAGAAGGACATGTTTTCCTATTCTTATTTGTAGGGCTTGGGCCAGCTGCACTTGGATTGGCTCCTCCCCTGGGAAAAACTTTAAAAAGACCAATTGTGTTATCAGGTCATCAAAAAATATTCTGGAATGGGTGTTTAGAAAGCTAAACTCTAATTTCTGACTCCATTTCCATTTCCACTCCATTTCCATTTTATTTCTACCCCTTTCCATTTCTGACTCACTGTGTGACCTTGGACCAGTCACTTTATGTCTACCAACCTCTGTTTCTCCATCTGTAAAATGATGGAGTTAAACAAAGACTTATACTTTTGTGATAATTTGTAATTAATAAAGTCATGCCAAAATGAATGAACTATCCTGTGGGGTGTGAGGCAGTAGAAAGTTCCCTGTTACTGGTGGTGTCTGCAAAGAGACTGAAAGATCAGTTGTCAGAGATGTTACAGACTGTATTCTTGAAATGTTAGTTGGCTGGGCCATAGAGTTCTTCCAACTCACAACATCCGAGGCTAGAACACCTCTGAATTTTCTCCAGGTTCTAAGAATACTTAAAACTGTGAAGTCTTGGATCCATGGGTGACTGTGTCTTAGGAATAAGTGCTCAAGTGTGTCAAAGATCTTTGGGGGCAACAGAGTAGGGGTAGGGGCACAAAATGGGGACTCTAATTTTTTGTTCTTTCCTTCTTTGACCTTACACTATTCCCACATCTTTTCTAGGGCTTTTCGTTGTCATTAGGAGCCTACCTAATTCATATACTATCCTCCAACAGTATGGGAGGCCTTTATTATTGTTGTTGTTATTTTTATAATGAATTATCACAGCATCAGTGAACAAGTTTATTATAGCTAGGTCTCAACTAGTGTGAAAAATGAATCCTCTGAAGTGCTTGTATAATTTCCCACTGCATGTTTCTATCAGAATGGAACAAATGACCATATTTTACACAATCATAACTTCAAATAGTACAAATTTGAATAAATGCAACTCCTTCAGGGGATTCATTATTTGCATTAACCAGAACCTAGATATATCTTTCAAAGTCTGATTTTGGCATATGCACTGAAGACATGTAAGTCTTTCAGGTAATATTTGCTTTTAAAAAATTTTTTTTTGTTATGGAACACACACAGGGTGTGTGTGTGTGTGTGTGTGTGTGTGTGTGTGTTGTGTGTGTGTGTGTGTGTGTGTGTGTGAGAAATGGTGGCCTCTATTGTGGGGTGGGGAGGGAAGGAGATAGTTTTAAACTTAAAATACAACAACAAAAAAGAAGTAAATGCTTTAAACTGTCAACAGACAATAAGCATAGTGAATTTTTTTCATTCTCTCTACCTTTCAGTCATTGTCAGATGATAAAGAGGTGACTATGATATAATGTTGCTTTTGAAACTGGTTGCACTGTCTTTTCTATTCTTACACACTCGATAAGAATATCTGTCAGTCAATGAGCATTTATTAAGTACTTAATCTGTACTAGAAACTGGGCTAAGCATTGAGAGTACAAATAAAGACAAAATAGTCTTTGCCTTCAAGGAGCTCACATTCTAATGGGGGTGATAATAGAGAAGTAACTAGGTGCAGATAAAATATATATAGGGAAATGAAAGGCAATCTCAGAGGGAAGGCCCTAGCAGTGGGGGAGACCTGCAAAGGTTTCTAGAAGAAGGTGGAATTTGAATTGAGTCTTAAAGGAAGCCAGGAAAACTAAGAGGTAATTGTGAGGGGGGCACAGCATTCTCAGCATAAGCGAGAGCCAGTGCGGAAGCAGAAAGATGGCAGATGGAGTATTTTATGTGAATAACAGCACATAGACTAAAGTTATAGAGTTTGTGGATGCCAAGTTTTAGAAGACCAGAAAGGTAAGAAGGGGTTAGGTTATGAAGAGCTTTAGATGCCAAACAGAGGACTTTAAATTTTATTCTGGGGCAATAGGGAGCATTGGAGTTTGCAGAATAAGAGAGTGACCTGGTTAGACCTATACTTTAAAGAAATCACTTTGGCATCTGAGTGAAGAATGGATTGGAGTATGGGGAGAGACTTGAGGCCAGAAGACTAATTAGGAGGCTATTGCAGTAATTCAAGTGAGAAGAAATAAGGCCATAAAGTAGAGTGGTGTCTGAATAGAGAGAAGGAGATGTATATGAAATACATGAAAGGTTTGGCAACAAGATTTGGCAAAGGATTGGATATGTGGGATGTCTTTTATGTATACACAGCCTATTCTTATAAAATATTATGTAATAGGGAAAGTAGGTGTATGGATTGCTAGCTATTGATATTCTTAATCTAGGTGGCCCTTGGTCATTAGACAGCCACTGCATCTCAGAGAGAAGGCACTGGTATCCTCTACCCTCAACCCTTTTCCAGTTTTGGAATCAATCAAGTCAATGTTCCTATTGATAATGAGAAAGATGCGTGAATCTATTATTTCACTCACTAGTCCCATGACTTTCCAAAGCAAAATGCCACTTTCTGGTTACTACTCACTTATATTTGTTATCTCCCCCAATAGATAGTAACCTCCTTGAGGACAGGGGCTAGCCCTTCTTTCCTATTTGTGTCCTCAGAGCTTAGCATAGGGTTTGGGAAATAGGAAGCATTAATAAATGCTTTTTATTAATTAATTAATTATTCATTCAAGGGGAAAGCTACTCATGGCTGAAAGTTGGGGGAAATGGAATGGAGGCACTGTTAAATGTGGAAGCAGCTTGGATAAGGACCACCGGCCATTAATTCTCTTTGAAGTGACTCTTCTCTGGCCTCTTCCCCTTCACTAATAGGTTTCCATATGGCTAATTGACAGATCAATTAATTTTATATTAGTTACATTGCTATTTAAAATATATTAAATACACAGTCCCAGCCTTCTAAAAGAATACTCTGTTTCCCAGCTGTCTAAATATTGACCAAACTGATAAAAAAAAAAAAAGAGAAACAACAGAGGGGGCTGCCAACTTGCAGCAATGGAATCCATGGATGACATAAGGCTAAACTGGAACCATCTTATCTAATGGTTCCAATACTTCCTAGCTATGTGATCACAGGTAAGTCACTTTGTTTCTCTGAACCTGTTTCCTCACATGA